AAATGCTGCACTAAGATCTATGAAAGATGTAAACTAGTGTTTATCATCTGCTGTATATTTAATAAGATGGTGTAGAATGAAGCAGATCTGTTGTGGTGTGCCCAGGTCTGAATCCAGCCTGTTCTTTCACATACATGTGGTTAAATTCACATTAACACCATGTAATTATAACACAAGAGAGCCAGTTTGATGTGCTTAAGGCACCAGGCTAGAAACTGGGTGACCATGAGTTGTAGTCTCCTTAGGCACAAAGCCAGCTGGATGACCTTGGGCCAAGTCATTCTCTCTCAGCCCTAGGGAGGGGCAATGGCAAAGGCACTTCTGAGATCTTAGCAAGCAGTATAATCGTAGTCTTTATTGTACTAAACAGACATAGCTCTGTGGTTTCTCTTCAACTTTGCAAGTAGGATATTTTCCCAGTGACAGCAATTCAGAAGTCTTCAATGGGCCATTTTCTGAGAATATCTCAACCCATTCCCAGGAGAATGACTAGAATATATTTGGAATACTCAGAACTCCTAACTTCCATCTGAGAGAAGATGGAGATAAGGAGGGGAGGTATTGAAAATAATGGCCTTTCAATTACTAAGAATCTGGTAGAAGTTTTTCCTCCATTAGCTAGGAAGAGGTGAGAGTTTGGGGAAAAGTATGTTAGGGGCTGCAGTTACTACCGTAGCTTACACTGTCAGTATATACCCACTCATCCTGTACTTGTGGAAATAAATTACAAATGGATCCCAGGACTCTATCTTCTGTATAAGGGTGAAAAGTCATGCTTACTAGAAACATGTTGCTTCAAAACCTGAAATATCATGTGGCAGGCTGAGGAAACAACCTGATGGACTAGGGATAAGCATTTTGTACTAAATATAACTTCTTGGGGCACTTAACATTTAACCAGTTTTCTTCAAATTGGTTGTTTGTTAGATACCAGATTCTCACACAGTGTATTTACTGTGGAGAGCTTGAGTGGAAGAGAAACCAGAAAGAGATATTGTTTGCCTCTGCCTCTCTTCACAAATAAGTATTATAAAGATACTTGCGTGCAAAATAGTAATTCAGATTAGGAATAAAACCAAACTCCCATCATTTTCTGTTCCCCAAGCAAGCAGGAGAGCAACCAGCCATTAACTAAATGTGCACTCTCTTTTATCTGCCCAAGTAGTGTCTGCGGGAGCCAGCTCATACCAGCTCGTGACAGCAAATTGTGAAATTTTCTGGGATTTTGCAGGCTAGTTGAGAGCAAAGCCACTAAGGCTGGAGCATCAATCAGCTCTTTGGTAGCCAGTAGCGTCAGTGAGGTCTGAAGGCACTGGATTATTCTTTGGAGAGCCAGCTGTTAAACATTTACCAGCACAACACTGTTTACAAGTATTCAGGAAAGCTAGAATGAACTTTAAACCTTGACAATCAATGCTTGCTAGAATCCAAACACCTCACTGTGTAACTTTTTTCCCCAAAGAAAGCTACATCCAGCATGTACAAATTGTTCAAAACTGCTTGTGGGGAGCATTTTGCCATCTTTCCAGAAGATGCACACATTTCACCATTCCTTTTGTGTGCTTCAACTTCTGACTATTAGCATGAAGAATTTGAGTAACTTCTTTCAGGTAGTTTAAACAAAATAATGTTTTTTTAGACATCTTAAATAACCAAACTGTCATTTAAAAAAAGAGCAGTTCATACCCACCCTTGAATAAATGTGCCATTCATTGGTATGTGAACTGGCATTAATGAATTTTGGCTTATGAACACTTTTACAACTTTTTCTACTTACAGTAAGGCAGAACAAATATCAACAGAAAGAAAAATTATAGTCATAATTGGCAGATACATGGAGAATCTTAAAAATGCTGCACATGGAGAATTGCAGGGGTGGGAAGAACATTTATTCTTCGTCAAAGTTGCACGTTTCACATTCCAAAGGGGGGGGGGAGCTAAAAGGTCCTAAGTATCTCATTCACACAAATGTTTCTAATCAAGAAACCCTACCCAAAACTATCAGCTGTGCTGATGTTTAGGGAAAAAGAACTTGGAAAGACAGATACTGGATGTGAACATCAGTAGAAAAATTAGCCAAAGTATTATTTTTATAAGAATGAAGTCATATCCTTTTAGCTTCCTCTACCAGTTTGGTATTGCTTTATAACCATTGAAGACATAATCTCTAAAACAGCACATTGGAAGATGCATAGCTAGCTTTATATAGATATTATCTTGGAAATCAAATCTCCATAGACAGGAAAGTGTAATGACTACTGTTGTGTGTATCTATTAGTGATCCATTTCCACTATAAATATATGTAAGTGTCCTGAATTATGACTGGAGAGGCATATGTGACATTCCAAAAGTTGAACTCTATTTCCCATCATTCCTAGCCAGCACAGTAAAGGACTGAAGAATTACAGGGATTGTAATCCAGCTTCTTGAGGTTATGCGTTATGTTTTAAGTAATTTAGCAAGACAAAGGAGACTTTAGATTTCTTCTTTCTTGACCAGAAGCCTCCATTCTAGTCAAGGTAGTTTCAGAGTTATGTAATACTGTACAGCAGTGTTTTTCAACCTTGGGAACTTTAAGATGTGTGGACTTCAATTCCCAGAATTCCCCAGCAACAGAAAGTTGACTGGAGATTCGCCCAGGTTTTTTTTAATCTCAGTTATTATCAGTGACCAAGCCTTCTGAAAAAGTTGGACATATCTGTAAGGTAACACACAAGAAATTATTTGCTATCAGACCATTAAGACTGTACATTTAAAATGTGCTTTTCTGTAGAATTACCTTTGTAACTTTAATAAGCAACTCATTACAAGCAGAGAGCAAAGCTGAGAATTTAATTGATTTCAGCTAATTGAAACCAAGAGGCAATAAACATTAAGGTGATTATTATTCCTTCTCATCCTAAAGAGTTATGCTAGTACATTTGGTTGCTTTCAACTCAATTTACTTCCAAATTGTTCTGAGAACTAAAATTCATAATCCCCATCAATACTAGCTTGAGTTCCTTGGAGTAAGGATGAGATACAAATGCAGTATAGAGTATCATTATACATAAGACCTGAATGGAATTGGCTTGGTAGAAACCAGTTTATCCGTTACAACTTATTGCAAAATTCTACTATAAACAGTACAGGAAAGGGGTTGTGAGAAGGAAATCAAATTCTTCCCTCCATGTCAGCAGGAAGTCAAAGCTGCCCATTTGTCTCACCCTACCATTGTTTATCTTAACAACAGTCAAGGCATATGACTAAATTATAATAAGTATGGGCTCACCTAAAAAGATTAAAAACATACCAGGGAGAATCAAGAGTCCTCCACCCCAGCCCAAAATTAAGTAATTAAAGACCTAGCAGGAAGGGCCAACATTCCTTGAAGCCATAATCAAATCATAAAAAGATTTCTTCCCGAAAGGGATCTACATTCCAATTAGACAATACCAGATAAGCCAAACACAGGAAACTCCAGCTTGGTAGGGTGCCTGACCTTAGTATGCTCCCTTCTAAAGATCTAGTCAATTTCACTGGACAGCCTCTCTCTTGGAATCCTGGCTAATTACCTTTTCTAAGAATTCCTAGAGGGCCTGCATTCCTTTGCACCCTTCAAGGAACAATATGGTCTTCCCTATAAAAGGAACTCCTGGGGAAACCCTGTGTGCAGTGGCCCTGACAGCTGATCAGTTTGTGTATCTGGCTCTGGGAAAATAAAGTCTTCTCTCACCTTCAAGCAACCGCCCGGAGACGAACCTTGTAAGCTTTCTTTCTAATAGAGTATTAAAGGCAAAACCAAGAGTAATGTTACAAAAGAAAATGGGACAAAGCACCTGATGGCAAAAGGGGCTGAAATAATGAGGTTTGTGGTACCTTAAAAAGTGATTTACAAAAGCAAATACTGCAATTGCAACACAATTATATGTACTTTTCTTTAGCTGTTCCTTTGCATTCAAAGTTGCTCCCAGGTAAGCACGCGGGATTTACACTCCAGCCTTTCAAGATGCCAATTTGTCATTGTTCTTGTTGTGATTAAACAAACAAGTGGTATTTGGAAAGGTACCACCAACTTCAGTTGCTCTACATACATTTTATTGAGATGTTTGCATTTCCATTCCAGGTGAAGGTTTTCAAAGGGACTTACTTGGATTTATGAGTGCTTCTCAAATACTGACAGAAAAAACTAAATCATACTCAGAATATTGACAAAAATGGTTTTCCAAACTGGGTATTACTTAATTTGTAGTCTAATCTACCTGGTATACACCAAACTGGGAGAAGGTTGGACTACTCAGACACAAAAGATACCAAAGTTAGCACAATTAATCTGATTTAAATGGATTCATCTGCAATAGTTTTTATTTACCACTGTTAGTTTGCATTGCATTTCAATGAGATGAGACAAGACAAACCTGCTGAAAATATTCATTTTATTAAGTAACATTTTTTAAAATATAAGCCATTGCATCTTTGCAAATAGCAATTAAGAAGATATTGTATCAGTACAAAATTCTAGAAAGACACTTCTCAGTACTACAAATACATCAACAAGTTTATAGTTAATTATTACAGACAGAAAAGTTAAAGCTTTACAGACTTTAACATTATGAGTCCAAATGTTGAAAACTGCATTTGTTAAAAATTGCTAAATAGAAGCAGTCCATTGTTCCCTTTGCATATTTCTTTTGCATACTACTTGCTAATATATTGACCTAATGGAAGCCCTATATCTTGGTTAAAACATGTAAATCAGTATGGTATAACCATTACAATATTTTTTTAGCATTTATCTTGCCATTATATAATCCAAGAAGCTAAAAAAGGTGGTTGGATTGGTGGTGACAAAATGACATTTAGCTCAATGAAAGATACCTACTCTGAGTATTGTACCTCTTGTAGTTTCATGGGAACAGTCCTGAGTCTCTAGATGCCTCAATGTCTATGGTGTGGGAATTTGCCTAGCAAGAGTTTTCCATAAAATGCACACATATTAAAAATGTTTAAACTTTATACATTGCTTGGGGGGGGGGGGTGAATCCTAAGTGAATTCAAGATGTTTGGGGTTGCAACTCTCAGAATCCCTGAATATTGGCCATACAGGCTAGAACCTCTAGGAGCTAGAGTCCAAAACACAAGTACTACTCTGGCAACACCAGATGTATGACAGGTGGGCAATCTGCAGACCATATGTGGCACTCTCTGTACTCCATTTGCAATACCCAGGGGGAGGCCTTTAAGGAGTAAATAAGTACCTTAAACCTGACTGAAATCTAAAGAAACTACTGCACAATTTAAAAACTCTCACACCCACAAAAATAGGATTTTTAAAAAATTGGATGGGGTTAAACAGCAAAATTTCAGCCTTTAACACTATATAAGGAAATGCAAAATGCTAAAAAAATACAGTCCTGTCAACCCTGGCAATATCACCAGCCATGCCTCTGTGGCTTCTGGAAAGGAAGCACTGTTTACCCCCTGAAGCTGAAAAAATCTACTATGTACCTATGTATATCTTATACAATACTATAGAAAGGAAGAACTTAAAAGTAGCCAAGAAGCCTACCTCTTTCACTGCCAGTTCAAATCTATTTGACAAGATCTATTTTTTTTAAAAAAGTCTGAAATGCTGCCTTACTCAATAATTGTTGAAATTATCTGGTTTGATCTGGTAGAAGATGCAAGTCTGGATGATTGTTTGTCTGACTCAGTACAATGAGCTTTTCTATATAACAAGTGACAAATGCTCTAAAATGAAACATAAAACGAAACAAAGACAGAACTTTTTTTCCACAAGTGAAGGTTGTCAATATGCTGAACATATTTTTTTAACTGATGTAAAGTTTACCAATAAAAGCTTTAGAGTTAGGGAAGACTTGGGAAAGATAATGCTAGGACATACTGGGTTTATTGTATACTTTTTAATCACATTCCATTCTTCCTATACCAAACATAACTACACTAATAAATACAATGAAATGTAAAAGCAGGCTCTTTTTCTGTGATAAAACCTATTTCTGATGCCCACAATACAGAAACAGTAATTTACTTTCTTATATTGGACAGACCTCCAGGATTCCACACTGAATTGTTAGCTCTTCTCCAGAGAACATTATATATTTTGCCTATGTTTTCTGCAAATTTCTTCTTAAGCCACAAGCAACTTATCTTCCTTTGGGATCTATTTGCCTTTGCTTAAAGACTAGTTTCAAGTGATAAAGCAGTCATTTTTTTTTCAAGTGTTCCTTTTAAAAAGTTGCTAGGATTTATAGCTATGATAAACCTTAAAATGTCAATCTCATTTCATTAGTTGTTAAATATTATTTAATAAGCATTTGACATGATTCTTACACCCAGATGCAATACTAAAGCATGTTATCCTAAGAGAAAGGAAGACATACTGGACCAGCAAAGGCAAGCCATCTTTCAAGAAACTAGCAAAAAAGCAATGTTTTCCAAACTACCGTTTCAGAACCATACCCTAAAATGCATGTATGGATTTAAAAGAATTCCAAATGTTGCTCTAAGGACTGAGTATGCAGTCAACATCAGCTGTACAGAGTAGGGCTTTAAGGCCTACCTACTAGTCAAACAATTGGAGTACTCTGGTTTTCTCCTATCACTTACACATCTAAGCACAACCCAAATATAAACCCTTCAGATTTGTTGTAGATGAAAAATAGTCACCCAAACAAAGTAAAACACACACACACACACATTTTTTAAAACAGCCTAAGAAATTCAGTCTGATTTTTTTTAAAAAAGCACTGTTTAGTGTGTGTTTTCATATTAATTTGTGTCTAATACATGATAAAACATATCTGACTGCAGAATCTGATTTTTTTTTCTATTCAACATATTCCTATTCCTTTTTACATATAACAGACAGAAACTGAATTCTAACTCAAAGGACACCTAGCAGCATTCTTTAATCTGTTTCAGTACACTCATAATTAGTAGTTGATAAAAAAAGATAATATTAATTAGTAGAGCACATGTTTTGCATACAGAAGTTCCCAGCTTTAATTCTTGGCATCTGCAAGGAATGCTGTAAGACTTCCTGCATGAAAATCTGGATAGCAGCTGCCTGGTGATGTAGAACTTATTTGACTAGATATAATAACTGTCTGGCTTGGCACAGAGCAACTTCCAACGTCCCATGAGAGAGAGAGAGAGAAGTCAGGGCAAGACTATAAATCACTGACTGTACAGAAACAGACAACTATGATTTTCATCATCAGCTATGCCAAAGGCACAGGCTAACTCAAACCATTACAGTAAACAATACGGAAGCCTCACAGAAACAAATGAAACCCAAGAGAGTCTTCACACTGAACATGACACTGAGAAGAACTTCAAAATGGAATGAAAATGGCTGATTCCACAGGGTGGCACAACCCTCTTCCATGACCTTAAACAGCTCTTTGGATCCAAGCCATTCAGAGGATTAGTTCCAAAATATGCCCTGTGTCCTTCACTCATTTTTCATGTACCTGACTTTGACAACTGCAGGAATTTAAAAATACAGTGCATTCAACAACAAGCTTTCCAATAATACAGTACGGAAATTCTATCGATGTGCCATTTTTATTAAGTGCCAGACATCAGCCAACGTTTAAAGCACTCATCTATGGAAGCCACAAATTAAGAATCTGTCATGAAATTTAGCACAGAAAGCTAAAGTGCTACTAAGTTTCTTTTAATAAAAATGTAACTAAATATGTTCCTCTCTTAAAAGAAAAAATGTAATTGCATTTTTGGTATCTATGAACTTGAAGCACAATATGCATCTGGGGGTCTTTTCCTTTCTCTTGCGTGACTGAAATAAAGCTCTAGGTTGAGAATAGGAATCCACATAAATGTGAACTGTTTCTCTTCGGAGAATGGGAAAAGCCCTGCACACAGGACCAGAACACAGTAGGCCTGCAGAAAACTATTAGTGCAGATGTTTGCTTTTAGCTGAATTGTGTAGATTTAGAAGCACACTTGTGGCCTTCTCTTCATTTTGTATTTTAGTGAGCCATATCGCACCTGGAACAAATAAACATTTGTTGTGAAACATTTCAGGACATCTACAAGAACATTTCTAATGCAAAAATCCTGAAGTTGGTTGCTTATTTCCTGATGGGGAGGGGAGGGAATGGCATCCAGCATAAGGACATGAATGAAAGACAAATAGCAACCTGTGGCAGAATGCAATCCATCCATTTCATATCTGTATGCAATTCACCCAAATGACTATTACAATAGGCACAGGTATTATAAGGGGATACAAATAATAGCCCATGAGGCCCCCTGTGTTCTGTTCTCTTTATTCTGCTCTCCAAGACTGGCATTAGAGAAAAATAAGTATGAAAATTGGAGCTGTGCCTTGATATCCACCGAGCTACAATTAGATCAGTTTATGTGGCACGTTTCCTCCTCCTATCCTTTTTCTATCCCCAGGCAAAATAGTGTTTACTCTTCTAGATCTTTTAATTATATCTCCTTGTCTTCAAGGTTTTGTTTTGGTGTTTTGTTTTGTTATATTGGCTTTTAGTGTTATTTTTGTTTAAATTGACTGTACTTTTTTTTTTTTTTAGAAGAGACAACTTTTTTGGACAGGTGAAGTTAACAATGTCTTCATAAAGAAAAACATATTTCATATAAAACAGAAGAAAAAATAAATCTTCAAGCCCCTGCAACATAAACTGGCAGAGAACCATAATTTTCTGGGATCAACTACAGATGTGAAAATGGAACAACCACAATGCAATACTCTCAATTTCCACAACAGCTGGCTAGAAGGATATAATAAGAATGTCTTTGGAAGATCCAGGAAAATCATTAGGATTGTATGTCACCTGTCTCTAGCACAGTCATGCATGAGGGTGACTAACTCATGAATCCAAATCACAAATGATTGATACTGAATTATGTAATATGATAGAAAACATTGAAATTATTGCAAACAAAAATGCTGCAAGAGTTGGTGAAGTACTAACTGTAACATTTCCCCTTCCAAATATCTTTTAACAGCCTTTTTGCTAACTCCTCAAACAAAATATATGAGCAAAGTGAGCAACATTACTAATGAAGGACATTCTTCAGGATGACATGGGCACCAATAATCTTCATATAAATACTATAGTGTTTAAGAGTGCACTCATATATAACCACAAACCCTTATTTACTTTTACAGGAAGAAATGCTGTGCAATCTCAGTTCTCCCTAGCTCCACACAAGAGGGGTTTTTTTCCTAAACCAAACCAGACTTTGCTATTTAATCTGAACAGACCAGGATCAAGGTTCAGAAAAATTAAGCTTCTACTTTAGAATGTTCTCAATTAAAAATGTTTGTTAATTTGCACCTTTTTATAGCATTTCATACTGTCTAGAACAAATTTACTTGCCTCTTTGCGTCCTTTTATCGTTTTTACAGATTTCATACTTTGTGTTCGACGGAGACCTCTCTGAGCAAACATCTCATCTTCTGAATATGTCCCTTCCCTCTCTTCATCTGTTTTATCATCTTCAGAATCTTTTTTTATTGGAATACCATAACCTGAGGTATAAAATCCAAATGCAAAATATTGTTATACCAATGATTTATCATTATTTACTTTTAAAAAAAGAACATTCAAATGTTCAAGGCTTGAGGGTTTTTTTCCTCAAAAGGATAGCTATACACTAGGCACTAAGGGCAGAAAACACACCTGCTTCATCACACCTGTTTTGATAGTATGTGGTCTGGCTAAGATGGAAATCAGGGGAAACTGGTTTGTATGAATTTAGTGGATGGGAAAGATGCATGAAGGAATGGAGATAAGAACCAACGTGTGTGTGCATGTGTATGCCCTGGCCAGAGGAGGAGATGGAAACTACCAATGTGAAGACCCAGAAGCTCCTCACAATGTATAGCGGTTTCCACCCCAAGTCCAACACTCCGAGACTGTACACCAGCCAGAGAGAGGGCAGGTGGGGTCTGGTGAGGGTCAAAGCCACTGTCCTGGATGAAAACCAGAGCATTCAGGAGTACATCAGTTAAGATGGCACCCAAGTTGAGCTGTTGAGAGAATGCCTGAGGCAGCAGCAGACACTGGAGGAAGTTCAAGCAGAGGAAGTGCCATGGCAAGACAAGACCATGCATGGGACGTACCATCGGCAGCTGAGGTGGCGGACTTTGGGAAATCCTACCAGTGGCTGGAAAGGGCTGGACTAAAAGACAGCACGGAGGCATTGATCATAGCAGCACAAGAACAGGCACTAGGCACCAGATCCATAGAAGCAGGGGTCTACCACACTAGACAGGACTCAAGGTGCAGACTGTGC